AAAAAAAAAAAAAAAAAACAGTTCTTTATTTAATGAGAAATATAGCATTATTTGATTCATATCTAGTTTCTCTAATCTCTTTCATATGCATTCAAAGTATATCAGAGTATTTCTGAACTGCATTAGTACTGATATACAACTGAGGATTGCTTTGACATTTTCTTATTTTGCAATTATTTTAGCAGCTGCTGAAAAAAAATAGGCAGAATTTGTTGAGGAAAGATATTCAAGTTGTGAATCATCATTATAAACTCTTTTTTACTGGACTTAAATTCATACATGGCTATGGTTAGGATTGCCAGATTCAGTGCATCATTGGCTTTGTTGGAAAAATAGTCTCTTAAGTAGCCAGTGTTAGAAAACAACAGAGTTAGAAAGATACCTCAACCTCTAAAGGGCAGGAAGAGGCAGGAAAAGAGGTGGACTGTTTAGTTTTGGGCTAGCCAATTCTGTCCTACATATACCCTGTGTTGGCCATTTGTTGTACATTCATAAGCCATTATGTTACCATGTCTAGATTATTGTTTATCTGATAAAGGGCTCTTGGTGATTGCTTCACAGTGGGCAGGCTCTCACTACTTCTTGCCATGTCTGCTTCTTTAAAGGCAAAAGTTTATTGGTCTCCCCAGCATTGTTTTTAATTGATCAGCTTTTATTACTTTACCAAGGTGTTGAGAATGTTGAATTAACACATGAAATAAAAATGTTTTGAATAAACTAATATCTAGAGATAATGAAAACTTTCAATTGATAGTTGGAATATTTTTTGTTAATATTTCCACTATAGTCATCAAAGCTTTATTTGTATGTGTCATATTAAAATGAATTATTCTTGTAATTATTATATTAAAATAACATGTTATACATTTTGAGTATGCGCCATTTTCAACTTCTAGCAACCACATAGATAGATTTTCTCCATGACAATCTATCCCTAACCTGGTCTTTCAGGTCTTGCAACGGTGCATTCATTGCCACTGTAACTGAGTCCACCCACGTTGCTGCTGGTCATCCTCTTCTTCTCTTTTCTTCCACCTTTCCCAGCATTAGAGCCTTTTCCAGACAGCTAGCGCTTTGCATCATGTTATACAGTATGTAATGTATACATAATATTGTACATCACAGACAATACAATTGCAAATTGCAAATTACAGCTGTTTTTAGTTTGCAAGATGGTTTTAGGCATAAATGTGATCAAACTTGTCTAACCATTCCCTTTAAAAATAATTTAATTTAAAATTATGGTGAAATAACTATGTTGCCGTGCATGCACATACACACAGATAGAATTAGGAACAGCTTCTGAAGCAGCTGTGCAAGACTGTAAAAAGACACTGTTGTGGCAAATATGTTATTGTAGGTTCTGAAGCACCTTTTTTGAAGGATTTTCACAGCCCTAGTATATTTTAAGGTAAGCAATGGTGAGCTTTTAAAATCCCAATTATCTTTGTTTATTTTTATTTAGGCATTTGAGGCATGTGATGAAAACAACAAAGGATACTTAAACAGAGAAGACTATAAGGTTGCTATAGTGATGCTTTTTGGCTATAAACCCTCAAAGGTACCATTTATTTCTTATCTCGAGGATTGGCTTATTCTTTAAATATGCTGAACACAACAGATTAAATAATCCAATCTCTGTTAATACGAAGTTTTCAAACAACATTTTTCAAAACTATTTAAAAATATTTAATTGTTGGTTCTGGCTATCCTTTTGAGATATTGCAGATAATCTTCTCAGTGACCCTTGCTTTAAGTTTCAGCCTCCCAAACCTAGTAGAATGCAGTAGGTATGCCCAATGCATCCCTTACTATTCACTTTTTAGTAGGGAGGGACACACAAACTGCATGTGGCGCTGCAAACTGAAAGGGGGCACTTCCCTGCCCCTCAAAGGTGGTGGAGGCAATCTGGTTTACAGATTAAAAGGATTGCCTCCGTACTTTAAAATGTCAGCTAGCTTTACTATAATACATCTGTGGTATATTTAGTTTTGTTTGGCTTTTATAGCACTGCTGCCACTATAAGAGGAAAGATGTTTCCCTCTAACTTGAATGAAAGGTCAGATATGCTGACAAATATGCTACAGTGTTGAGTGCAAATATCAGTTATCATGAGACAAATTGTGCTGAGAGCAGAATGTTCTAGCTGTATAATTTGTACTCACTCCTGAATACAAATTTAAAAGACTGAACATCTGATGCTTTCAGCCAATGGGAAAATGTCTCAGAATACTATGTAAGCATTTGTCTTTTACTGGGTTTAAGGTTCAATCTCAAGCTAGGTTATTTTCAGTTAAATTGGCTAGACTAAAAGCCAGTTAAATCCCAATATTGGGATTCCCAACTGAATCCCAGTATTGTGCTGGAGTAGCATTTCTGGTTTGGAGGAGTATTGAGGCTGAAAGAGTAAGGCTTGGAGGGAAAAGAACAGAAATCACTCCCAGATTCAAAAGATCAGTGAGAAGCAATGCAGTTGGGGACTACCACAGTGTAGATCCGAGTTCTGAGGAGATAATGCAAAACAGCTTCTGGTGTAATAGATCTGAGCAAATCAAACCGTCACTCAGTGTATTAGTATAAAACAGAGTTAGAAACAATCAGCTTGGCAATGAAACTTAATAGAAAGTTAGAGTAAATTAATTAAGTAGGGATTGGCACACTTCCAATCAACTTTTTCTTTCAACACCAGTTAGAGTTTCTGCATGGACTAGACTACAATTATTATTTGAACATTTTTTTCTATGCTTTGCTCTGTGATAAAGAGATATTTTTGAATTAATTACATTCTGTCTCTGATCTTTTACTGAAGAAAAGAGTAGTAACATGGCAGAAAGGCAAAAATGCTTCTTTTTAAAAGGGAAATTATTTTTTTTTTCTGGGAAAAATTAGGAATATGAGTGGAATTTGTAACCCAATAATATGCATTTGCATTTCAATTCACTCTTCTTCCACTATAATGTGGTGTGCAGCAGATGGGTCAAGACTCTCTCCCCATTCCTTTCAAAGGCGTGTCTGTCATTATGATGGACAAGTAGGACCTATAGCAATGTAGACTTTATTATTTATTTGTTCATTTATTTAATTATTCACTCCAAATGAAACACTACTCCAGCCATAGTTACTCTATGAGTGGCTAACAAAAAACTCATGCAAAAAAATAGGAAAACAATTAAAAATAATCTTGTAACAGCAGTGTCCCTCAACCCAGTACACCAAACTTTGATTGTAGTAGGTCTTCACTTATTCCCAAGAGCCTTCCTGAAGGTGCACTAAACTAGAGTTTAATGCTCTACTTAACATTCCAGACAATCAGCCAGGCTTCAAGCTTTTGTAGGATTCTGTGTTTTCATTGCTCATTATGTTGTGAGCTGCCCAAAGTCAATTTGAAGTTTAGCAGTGCCTAAATTAAAATAAGTAAATAAAATCTATATACTACTAAAATTCTCATTGTGTTTATCTGTTTGTTTGTACCATCAAGTTAGCCCAAATGATGCATTATACCACAAAGGTTTTTGCATCAAGGTACCTAAAATCTGCTAACTTAAAGAATGTGTAAAAATCCGTGTCCCATTACCCCTGTGGAATTGAAATGTCCAGGATGTTCAGACTACTTTTATTCACAAAGTTCTGGCTGTTGCAATGTTCCCACAGTCACGTGATTGTGATTTCCAATACTCTCTGCCAGCTTCCCACAAACAAAGTCAATGGGGAAGCCGGTAGGAAGTTGAAAGTTGCTCCTGTTCCCACTGCTCTTCTACCTGCCTGTGGTCATTATCAAAGCAAAGTGATAGCAATACCATTCAGGAAAATTTAATGTTCATTCCGGTCACATCAGAGTGCACTACCTTTCTCTCAAAGGATGACCCAACAGGTCACAGGTTGTCTAGTAAAAACTAAAAGGAGTATGGTGCAGTAACTCCAATTTATGTAATGCAGGGACTTGTATTTTTGTTTTGCTAATAAAAACTCATTTGCTTTGTTCTCTAGAAATCAACATAGTAGAGGTCTTAATTTTAACCTATAGTTTCATCATCAAAACCCTGAAGAATTTGTAGCCAGTTTGATCTTTAAACAGAAGTAGCAATTGGAGTTTTCATTTTTATCAAAACTGTAGTTCCTTTAATGCTAGAAGAGAACGTTAAGACAAAGTTATTTTTAAAAGTTAATATTCATTTGTATTGTTTCACTTCAGCTCAAATATGGCACTAAGTTTTGTCAGGCCTGTACTTGTGGTCTTCCATTGCATACTCTTGTTTCCCACTTCCACTTCTGAGTTATTTATTCATTTGATTTATATAGCTGCCTACTCAGCACTCAGCTCATGTCAGCATATATCATTATTGAACAATAATAACCCAGTAAAACACATAATAAAACAAAGCATGAAAAAATCCACAACAGAAACATATATAGGCATAAAGTGCCAGGAAAAAGTCATCTAACAGGTCATATCACTCCCAGACTCAATTCCTGAGGGAAAAAACAGTCTTCAATGTCTTTTGAAAGTTGGGCAGGGTTGGGGCCAGACAAATATGAGATTGTTGTTCCGAAGGACTAGAGCAGCAACAGATAAGACACATCTCCTAGGTCTTACCTACGTGATGGGACCCAGAAAAATAGTATATGATATTGTATAGTTTTGATTCAATAGCAAACGTTTGTCAGCAAGCCATGTTCAAATTATAGTTAGTAATTTTGCCAATAATTCAGAATTGCATGAGGAATTTGAATTGCAGATTATATCTGAATTAATTTAGTTTGGTTCATATGTTATTTTTGGCTTAGCATATTATACAAATCCAAGCATTAACATCCATTTTTACACCCACATTTAACAAATGTGGTTAAAACATCATGGTTTAATACGATGAATTGGAATTTAATTAGTTATGACTAACTTAGGTCCGGTTCATTTCACTGGATCTGCATTAAGCCTGGAAAAGTTTTAACTTTTCATTTCAACTATAAATTTATCAGATTATTTCTTGAGAAAAGCAATCTCAATTTCGATATTTGAAAAATTTATTCTATTAGAGTTTAATACAATGGCTTGCTAATCTACTCTTTAGCATATGTTTCTGGAGACATTGTTACCATTGTTACCATCCAGTTAAGTACTTTCAAATTTTATTAATTTTGGTTTTACAAATTTATGTGTTTAGCTTTTCCATTAAAATCAATAGGACTTCAAGGTTTCTAATCGTTGTTTGATTTTGCCCTTAATGTTGAGTTCTCACAGAATGGTTGTGGGGAAAACAAGAAGCGAATTTTTCCAAAAAACAAAAGATGGAATAAAAATTTAATTAATTAATTAGATAATTATGTATTTATCCTAATGATTCTGAAGAATTTGTTTATATGTGAGTATTTAAGGGTTCATTTGTTGATGGTACTATTTTTTTCTATTTTAGGTGGAAGTGGATTCAGTTATGGCCTCTGTGAAACAAAATCCATTGGGTATGAGCATGAGACTATTTTGATGCACTAGTGATAAGAGCTTAATAAAAAAAACTACAGGGTTTGAAAAGATCATGTAGTAATGTTTTTAAATATTTGAGACACCTATTGGACCTCAGCTTGCAAATATGCATTTTGTTTATTCTTATTTGTGATAGCTTAAAAATAAGATGGCGGGGAAGTTGCACACAGGTGGCGCAGTTATTGCATGAGAATTTGAGCCAAACCTAGCATTGCTAAGCAACAGGAATTCTAGCCTTTGGGCTCCCTCTGTTTCCCAGATCTGCTCATGATTATTTCCCAGTTGTCCTGATCATATTGGGAAGCTAGAAGGCCCTGCAACAGTGAGGAGTAAACCTACCCACCAATGGTTCTTTTCTCCAGATTTCAATCGATTATTAAATTGGTTTACAAATATTTAATTGAGGAAGGGGGACGCGGTGGCGCAGCGGCTTAATGACGCTGAAAGTTGCTGGCCAGAAATGGT